TCAATTAACAATAAGTGCGACTTATTGTTAATCACACAAGTGGTGTACACGTATGTTTTACTTTTAATTTTCTTTTTAAGTTTCTTTTGAATAAAAATAACAGAAGGATATAATTTTTCTATCTTGCCGTTATCGCGCGCATACTTGTCAAGCCCATTCCGCGCCGCATAGCAAAGTCATCATCAATCACTGATTTATATAATTTGTGTAATTCTTTCTCCCACAAATTTATTTTTTATTTAAAAATATGAAGAAATAAATATCATAAAAATAAAAATCTGTGAAGTCTGATCTTAATTAAATACTGAGTTAAATACTTTCTCCATAAGGAAGTCTTTAGTCCCATTTACGATCAATTATATTGCGTAACAAGAAACTTTGCAAATGAGTGATTGAGCCTCTCTTTTATCCTTGACATTTAGACTTGCGTAACATAGTTGGGTGAGGTCGATTTAGTATTACAATGTTTTAAAGCATTTCATTGACCAATCAGAACAAAGAATTTTACAAATTAACCAATCCGAAAATGCTTCAAGACCTTTGTGGCATCATCTTAATGATATTCATAGTCGCATTAATGTACATTCTTTAATCCGCAGAGAGATATTTTTGAAACTCGTAAATCCCCTCTCCCGTAAACTTTCCGCTACTTTAAAAACATTTAGAAATAAAAACTGCGTATTTTAACCTTACTACTTCAGTTAATTACTGAGTTTTCATCAGAAAAGAGTAAAAAGAAATTAAACGTGTCTCTAATATAAAACATGGATAACGAAAGCAGTCAGGTGCGTGAAAACGAATTTTATTTCTTTCTTGCAATAAATATTAACTCTGTGTAATAAACTCAATTTTTTGTGATAAGTAAGAATTACAAATATAAATTTCTTTCCGAGAAATATAGAAGCGTTATTTCTTCAATAAAAGAAACTATAAAAGAACTTTGCTTTTAATTTTACGTCTATACTCGTAAATTTAAACTTTTTCTTAAAAAAATTTTTTTTACCTATATAACAATATGTCAAAATAAATTTTCTCTCCACGTTCTCTATTATCTTTTTCTCTGTCTCCTTATCTATCTTTTTATATTTGTAAAAGTTTTTAAATTAATCCATTAAATTTTATAAAACTTTTCTATAAATTTAATCTTTTAATTGCATACGCAAGCACAAAATAACATCTGCTTGTAAATATAATATTAACAAACTTGCTTATCTGTTTTTATTTCAATTCTTAAAAAAAAAAATAGTAAAAAGCTGCATTTTTTTAAGTTTTTCTAAAGATTTATAGAAAGATAAATATAATAAACATATTATCAACTGATATTATATGTTTTTATAAAGAAATCGTTAATGTTACAGACAATTGGGTTAAAAATATACGAGACTTTACTGTTTCTAGCAGAGATATTATTGCTTGTTTTGAAAATTGTATATTACATTTGCAAAGCTGTATACAGATTAATCGTTCCACCGAAGAAGAAAAACGTAGTTGGTGAAATTGTATTGGTAAGAAATTTATAATCTAAAAATACTGTTATGTAAGAAGAATACAATTATACATTAAAAAATATATAAAAAGATGAAATATTTTTATTATGTGAGAAAATTATAAAAATTTTACCACTAATTGTAAGTTATAAAATTATATAATTTGTGTGTGTGTGTATGTGTGGATGCGCACACACGAGAAATTTCAAAATTTCTATTCTATTTCTCCATCTATCTAGCCTTACATTTCTTTCTTACTACAGATAACCCAGCGAGAAATGACTTATTAAATTAATGAATCAACATCGATACAATAATGTTGAAATCAATTAAATTAAATCAAAATTCGATATTAATTCCACATCTAATTGACGGTAATTTCTTATTGGGAAGTGCTATGCCAAATTATGTTGCGTTAACCGATAGTAAAATTGTATTCTAGGCTTTGAACTAACTGTATGTCTCTTATAGACAAAAGACTCTATATTTGATAGTACGCATTCGTTTTCTTATGTATTTTCAAGCAATTTCGTTATTTCTTCCAAAATATAAACATGAAAATTTAGCTTGAACATATAACATTGATGTTATTATAAAAAATAAAAATTTGTGAACTTTAATTTGTAACAATTATAATTTAAATTATATTTTATATATGTATATATATATATATATATATATATATATATATGTATACAGGGTGTCCCGCAACGCTTAATTAATATTTCAAGGCGTAAAAGAGA